TTCCACATGCATTGTAGAAAATTATTCAATGGATTAAACTTCACAGTGCCTTGAATGTATACACTGGAGCTTCAAGGTTACATTGAGCTTGGCACAGTTGGTCTCTTCCATCCCATAGTATTGCATCAGTGTCTAGTGCGTATTTGCATGTTTCCATCCAGTCTTGTTACGTCTTTCTGTCTTTCCAAGTTCTCTGTGCAGTTTTTTTCTGTGTGTCTGTCTGTAGATGAAGGAGCGGAGGATGAGGTGGGACCACTTCAGAGCAGCTCAAGGCATGAGCCAGCTGCCATGGGGGAGAGGTATAAATTCCTCACCCCCTCCATTTCAGTGTCTGTGCCCGATGATGATCCCTACAATTCGTATGAGGAGTATTATGAGCACCCTTTGTTCAGCACTGAATGGAATGAAGCTAGTGCATGCCCAAGTGACACATCCCTGAGTTCCAAGGTCTTGTTAGGCCAAGAAGGTGAACAAAGCATGGTCCTGCCTTCCTCTTCTCCTCCACCCACCTCACCTTCATTTCATCATCTATGTCCAGGGTTGCCATGTCTTGAAGGTTTAGACTACTTCTCTGGGTTTCTGGGAGAGGAATACATGGGAGAGATATCAAAGTCAAGAGGTAGAACTGTTTTCTGTTTGGTGTGGGAGCTTTGTTATTTACTCCATAATGTTTTCTGTATAGGGACTTTATTATCCATAATTTCTGGTATAGGGACTTTATTATCCATAATGCCTCATCTACCAAGACATGAGGTGCTTCCCACAACCTGCCAGGTGCTGCTAAGTTCTGAACATCAGATTCTGTTCCCTAAGCCTCACAAGACTTGGCAATTCTGCTCTTTTGTTATAATTGTGTTTTTTTCTCCAAGACAAAAGAGAAAATTGAGATTTCTTATTCTGTTCTTCTTCACACCATGCCACGAATCATGAAACAATTCTGTTCTGAGGCTAAAGCGAAAGGCAAATTTGTGCTGTGTTGGATAGGAACCATCATTTCTACATCTTGGTATTTTCGGGCCTACTCTAATGACTGCATTACAACACCAGTATTTTGACCTTTCAGGAGCAACTCTAAATGTTATGTATCACACCGTTTATTTATTTATTCTTTTGTAAGATATTTAATGGACATAATATACTGAGCTACAACAACTGTTGTATCTAAATATATTATGGGAAGATGCAATACAAATGTCTTGTGATTTTGGATAAACATCCATAATTGCCATTGGTTGTACATATCGATAACTAATGCAGTCCTTACGGTGCCTCCTTAGAAGTGTTTTCTCAATACATTAAACGTGTAGCTCAATCGAGGCTACATGAGATGGCACATGAAACCAGAGACTCAGACATATCAATTCAGTATTTTCACACTCATTTCCCTCTTGAATACTGTTGCTTCTCTCTCAGTGAAATTACTGCCCATGACAAGGATTCAAAGAAATATCAAGACACTGCCCAGTGCGAATTTTGTCAGAACATTGACTGGTGGGATTTTTAAATCATTCTCTTATTTGGATATTATACTTCCTTGTCACATCACAAATAACTTTTAAAGTCTCCCTCATCTTCATGATGAGTAAGGAAAGGGAGCCCGTAGGAACTACCATACTTAAGTAATTCTTTGGATACCAACCTTTATCATCTGCCAAAGTTTGTCAAGTATGTGATGAAACACAGAATCTCCTTACCATTCATGTGTCTTTTAACTAATATGACCAGACCGTTGAAACTGAACTGAGATGTGTGTGTAAGCAGCACTAGTGAGACCACCTTGATTTAGCATTGTTTTACCTTTAGGAGGTGGATCACAAAGGAATATATCTCCTTTCTTGACAATTAAAGCAAGACAGTTATATCAAATCTGAATTGATTTCTGAGGTGATTCCTATGTATGCGATGGAATATATTTTTGTAACTAAAAACTACTTACATTATTCATCGGAAGAGTAGTTGAATGGAGGAGAATGTGTCAGAAATAAGGAGTAGGTTTCTAAAATGCAAATTTGAAATGAGAAATTTTCAATTGGAGTTAATTCTACCTACTGAAAAAAAAGCAAGATAATATTTCAAACTTTATGTGCTGTGCTATGTACCGTATATTCCGGCATATAAGACGACTGGGCGTATAAGACGACCCCCAACTTTTCCAGTTAAAATATAGAGTTAAGAAAACTCCCATGCATAAGACTACACCCGCGTATAAGACGACCCCTGACTTTTGAGAAGATTTTCTTGGGTTAAAAAGTAGTCTTATACGCCAGAATATACTGTAGTCATCCTACACTGACACAACAGTGAGCATATCACAGGTTGTTGTTACATGCATGTGTTTCTACTCTCCATTTCATGCGCAAGGGGAGAAAATTAGGTGATTACCATTGTAGAAACAAATTGCGTTTTTCTACTTCCTCTGAACTTTGCAGTTGATTGGTTGCTTAAATCATACATCATGAATGATCTGAAGCTATTAAACCAAGACCATAAAGATTTATGTCTATAGTACAGCTATTCCCTAATTCTATTCCTTTGGGTTTTGGGCTTCAGTTCCCAGAGGTCTCAGTTGCTTTGGCCAATGATTGGGCATTCTGGGAGCTGAAGACCAGTATTTGGAAAACAGTGTTAATAGTATGTCATCATATTTGTCATTTCTAATACAGGTAAATGGCATCACATTCTGTATCTGTTTAAGGATGCTGCTTAAGCTTCTTTGCCCTGATCCCATGCACTGCTCAGTGGGTAGAGTCCTCCATGTGCCCATAGAAGGAAGTCCATCCTCTTCATAAACTGTCTCCATATACTTTTCAATGGATAGGTCTGCATTTGGATCCTGGCTTAATAGATTCTTGTAACTGCATCAGGTCTGTAGAGATGAAATTCTCAGACAATGGGAAGTTTCATGATAAATATCTAACAAGTACATCTATTCCTATTTTGTTTACCAAAAACACCTTCCTTTATTGTCCCATTGTAAGTGTGCAGTTTAAATATATTCATCATATCTTACTGAATTGAAAGGTAAGGTAAGGGTATTAAGCTGTACTGTGTCACAAACAGAGCCTTAATGGTCTTATAGTTTCTACAGATGACCAGAATTACAGTATGCATATTGCCACTTGCTGGGAAAGCAGAAAGTGTGTTCCAGACATCTGTTTATTTACTTGTTCTTACTGCTACATTACAGGGGCAATGTGCCTTGCTTCCTTCATTACCAATAGGGACATCCAGGGAACCATTTATTTATTCTTCCATTTTAAATATTTGAAACCCACTGTTTTATCCTCCCGATCCATAGTATGGCTTAGAATCAATATAAAACAATGACCAGAGTTTAATTTAATGTTTATTCCCATATCTATTAGCATTGTTAGTGGAATTTTCTTCCTCGGCTCCTTATTATGCGACCAAAATATTCTACAGTACCAAATTATGCTCATTTTCCATCCTTATGGAACAGGGGTGTCCATAAGGCAGAAGGAGTTGCATATTCTGGCTGAAGTAGCGGGATCCAAAAGTACGACAGTATTGGATTCTGGCCATGAATACTACCAGCAGAAACAATCAATATAATCAATCAATCAATCAATCAGAAATAACATAACTATTATTCATTCATCCAGAAAAAGAAGCTTTCTGAGAAAACAACTTTAATTGCCAAATGTAACCAACTCAGCAGTAAAAGAATTTATTTATTTATTTATTTATTTATTTACTTATTTACTCTATTTATATCCCACCTTTCTCTACCCCGGAGGAGACTCAAGGTGGTATAGAGATAGGCAATAATTCAATGCCTTCACAACAATATATAAAATAATAATAATAATTAGTTAAATACATCACAATTAAAATTAAATACATTGAAACATTATAAAACATTACGATCACTATACAACCATGAAATCTGTTAAATGCCACCTCTAAGAAATACTTGTCTTCCATAGCTATTCATGGCATGTTGGGTAGGCAGTGCCAATAGAGTTAACTCAAAATCAGACACTTTATGTTAAGATATTTGTGGCCACATTCTGAACTACTCAAGAGAGATTTCAATGGCAGCTCTATGTGTATCACAATACAGTAGTACAAAGTTTAATGTATTTTGTTGGAATACTAACACCTCTTTTTTCAAAGTCATGTATCACTACCACACATTCCCATTTTCCATAGGTGATTTAGCCAAAATGTCTTCTACAGTCGTTTCCATTTTGGGAACAACAGAACATTTTCAGCTCTCTTTTTCTTCTAAAAATGTGCTTTATATATATATATAGATATAGATATATATTGCATGAAAAGCATGAGTGTGGTTCAGACATGTCTGAAAACCTAGTTTGTCTGTGAGCTTCCAGGTTCTTCCTTCCTCCTCGGGTTCATATATTCTTTCCCTCTTCCTTTCCTGCTTAACATTAAGCATGGTTCAGTACTATGTGTGAACCTTTGTTACTATAGCTCTTCCTAACTATAGTCACCTTCTAAATGGAGATACAAACTGGTTTCAGCCTCTGTTTCAAATCTAGTTATGGTTACTCACAGCTATCTTTCTGCCAGTCCAGATGTAGCAGGTAAGGGATGTGGGAGAAATGTATGAGCACCAGCTATGTCATACTTACCAGTTAGTTAAGGTCAGAAATTGTTTGGCCTTCCAGATAGCTTGGGAATTTAATAGTGAGGTATGATGGAAGCCACAACCCAATGACCATGGAGGGTTGGGATGGAGGTAGTGTCGTTATTTCCTTCCTTTAGTAACTGGGCAGCATGAACCGAACCCGCAGTTTTCAAGACAGAAAGATAATTACTTTGTTCATAATAACAATCATATATACTTTTTAAAAAGCTATGTGGGGTAGCATAGCAAAATGGGTAAATTACATGCTGAGCTGAAAATGTTGCATATGGGCAACGTGGTTGACATGTCACACCTTTTATTGTCTGTTAGTCGTGAAGATGTTGCTTCATTTTTCCATCCTTTCCCCTCCCTCCTGCTCCCCCCATAGAAGAGGAGGACGAAGATGAAACAGCTAAAGCTCCAGTGGCTGAGGAACCCAAACCTGCTGCCCTCCTTGAGGAGGGATGTGAGGAAATGAGTGGTCCTGCTGAGCCTTTGCAACAAGCTGAAGGCTTCAGGGAGGCCCAGCAGGAACCCATTCTTGAAGATCAAGTAACTCGCAATGGGGAAAGTGTAAATATAGCTGAGGATGCACCCTTGAAATCCCAATTGCCTTCCTTGGGCGAGGAAGGTGTGTCTTCTTTAGAGACATGCATGTGTTGGCTGCATATGAGCTGTTCTCCAAGCTTTTTCCACCGTGCTCCATTTACTCTTCCCATTTGTCCTTCTTCTGACTAATGCTCTTGTTATTATGCTTGAAGAGTGCATAACAGGCAAGCTGATTGCTGTGTGATGATGACATGGTTTCCTGCCATTGCAGCTGATTCCTAACTTTGGTTCAAATAAATGTTTTTTTTTTCCTACCCATGCTGTGGTATGCTAAGCAGCCAACCAGGTGTACCACAAAGCCTTTCATCCTTTTTCATTGCCGATGTGTTTGCCAGTCACATTGCTGATCTGTGTATATTTTGTTTCTTTTGTTTTTGGTGCAGAGGTTCATCTGCTTCTCATTTCAAAAAAACAAAACTGATTAACCCTGACTATGACATAAAGAGGCTTAACTTGCAGAAATGTTTTTTGTTGGCAGTGTGCAAATGTGTTTTTGCTTGTGCTTCAGTACATTCCGGCTCAGATTCCCTCAGGCTGTTGCTTCTTATGTCATACCTTTACCATTCATTGCAGTCCACCATGACCTTCCTTTGCCATTACCAGAATTTTGAGTTTTTGTGAACTTTCCCTTTCTTACAAGCTGATGAGCCACAAGAAAGCCCTGCAGTGGAAAGAAAATTCGCATGGATACTTGTGGTATTTTGGATACCGTCATGACAAACGTGATTTAAACAATGAGCGTGAAATCCAGTGTCACTCGTCTAACTAAACCGTACTGAAAAACTTTTACATGAAAAAAGAACTCCCCAGAAACTTCCATATTTGCCCTTCTGGTTATATTGCTTATTTCTAGATAATTAGATGAGACTGTGATCCAGAGGTCTGCCTGAGCAACCAATTTGATTTCCCTGTAAACAACTTGCACCGGTAAGAATTCAGTCTGACATCAAGAATCCAGCCCAAAATTACACTCCAAGAATATTTGTGAAATGTTTAGTCAATGCTAAAACGGTTGAAAAATTAGAATAGTCTTTTCAAATCCAGAGCTGTACAAATGAGTACATCTTCTGCCATCCTCAGCTAGCACTGTGGAAGTTGTAGTACTGTATATTTGGAGGGCACCAGGGGAGGGAAGACTGATATAGGACAAACATTGCTGCAAAAAAACCCCACTTGCTTTGCCAACTTTACAAAACCCATTGAAGATCTTAACAAATCAGACAAAATAAAATACTTAAATATGAAATATTTAAAATTGCGAAATGGTGTGATGAATTTAGAGCTGGTACTACAACAATGCCTGGATTTATTTTCCCAGTTTAAAAAAAATCCTCTCTCCATAGTTTTGCTCTGCAAGATAGCTAGTACATACTAGGGAAATTCTAGAACTTTGGTCAGGAAAATTAGGAAAGAAAAGATGAATTCCATCCAATGAATCAACCCAGATGCAAATTCCCCCTCTATGATTTCTATGGGGCAGAAATGATATGGGCTCCTATTTACTAGCGATCTCAGTCCTGAAAGGCAAGCCCCACTTTAGTGGGGCAATTTATCAAATTTTTAATCCAGCCTTTGAAGGTGCTGAACCCTATCCCTAAAATAAATTCAGCACCTTGGATAGCTCTGCATTGGCTACCAATAGAAGATCGGATCTCTTACAAAATACTGATTCTGACATTTAGAGCTCAAAATGGCCAAGGACCTTTATATCTTAGGGACCGCCTCATTCCTTTTCTCCATCAGTGGTCACCTCGATCCACCCAGGAAAATTTCCTATACATACCTGGCCCTAGGGAGGTACACCTGGAAGCTACAAGGTGTAGAGCTTTTTCGACCTGTGCTCCAATTCTGTGGAACTCTTTGCCTCCATACATTAGAGCAATGTCGGAGTTGCGACCTTTTGTAAAGGCACTCAAGACTTGGCTGTTTGGTTGTGCATTTAAGTAATCAGATCTAATTTGCCAAATAGTCACTGTTGAATGTTTTTATGTTGAATGTTTTTATATTGTGTAAATGCTATTTTAGATTGTAAGTCGCTCGGAGCACCTTGGTGGAGAGCGACTAATTAAGAAATAAAGTGAAGTGAAGTAAAAATAACAGGAGGGAAATCCTTCAGATTATTTTAACCCAGGTCACTTGCCAGATATTCCTAGATACAATGTAAGACTAAAAATACAAATTATTGTGTAGCTCAATTGATCAGAAACGAATTAAAAACAAGTAAGAGAGAAAAGGGATGAAATCACAGCTCAAAACTTGAAGTAGATAATATGTTCCCCACCAATATTGGGGAATCAATATAACAAAAACATATTCATTGGCGACATTGCTTAACTGACATAGCTATATTTTTGAGATGAACATCATTTTTTTCACTATGGCAAAATGTGAAGCAATGCCTGGAAAAGTTGTTTGTTTAGATCCCCACCCCAACCACTCTCCCAGCCAGCCTGGCCTGTGGGAGAACTTTTCAAAGGTCGTCTCTGAAGAATACTAAACAAGCCTATCCTATATTGGTGAATGGACAAGAATATGGCAGTAGAGGTTCAACAAAACTGCAAAATTAGAGAAAAGGGGGGACTTCATGTATTTGCTGATACAATCTAAACTAGGTGCAGCAGCAATTGGAAAAGATTATATGCTGGGGTGAGGGTCTCAGGGGGAAAGGAGTGTGAAAAATGGGCTGTAAGCCACCAAAAGTTGCTTTCTTAATTATACTTTTCAAAATCAATTATTTTTAAAGTCTCAATCTTTGGATAGTTGTGCACAGAAAGAACATTTTTCAGAGAAAGGAGAGACAGAGCTGTTTTCCTCTACAGTTCACTAAAGCTTGATCCAGGACAGTTATTAGAGCAAAAGGCTTGGGACAAACACAGCAAAACTAATTCTCCATATCATCATCATCATCTTTAATTACTTATTAATTGCCCTCCATCTGAGATACTCCAGGCGATTTACATAGCAGAAATTATACAGGATAAAACACATACATACAAATATTAAAATTAACATGGGTCAAATGCTCTAGTAAAAAGCCAGGTCTTAAGTGCTAGGATAAAATGCCCTAAGTCACGCATAGCTCTCAAATAGGGAGGCAAGGAATTCCATAAGGCAGGGGCAGAAATAGAGAAGGCCCTGCATCTGGTGCTTTCCAAGTGCACTTCCCTAGAACCCGGTATATAGAGCAAATCACGGTGGGATGGTCGTGGCGACCTCCGATGATGGTAGAAGGAGAGACGGTCTCTAAAATACAATGGACCCTGGCCATATAAAGTTTTAAAGGTCAGGACCAGCATATGATACCTGATTTATGATACCTGATTACTTGAATCACAAGATAAAGGAATGGCCTTGGTGGCTTAAAAAAAGCATTGTACCAATTCAAAATAGATAATTTTCCCAGAAACCTTGTGTCCATAGTAGCATAGGTAAAATCAGAATCCCCACTCTGAAATATATTGTGCTTGTTGTTCTTTTGTTCAGTCATTTCCGATTCTTTGTGACCTCATGGACCAGCCCATGCCAGAGCTCCCTGTCGGCCGTCACCACCCCCAGCTCCTTCAAGGGCTATCCTGCCCAAAACTTCTAGAGGAATCTAACTGGCTATGAGTGGAGCTAGAATTCTGGACTCTGAGATGTTTCTCTGCAAAGACATTTATTTATTTTTAAAATGTGCACCATACGGTTTGTTCAGAATATGGAACAGCTTTTTCAAATGCAGGGTTCTTGTGCTATCAGCTTGTGTTATGCGTACAACAGCTGTTCAGCACAAGGTTGTCTGCTCCCCCATTAAGAACAGGTTCTCTGGATCACAGCCCATGTTTCTTAACAGGTTTGTTTAATGGTGCTCACAATGCAATTTGTTGCTGGACTTCGTAATCTTTCCTAGTTTGATGAAGTGATGAGATCATTAAACACTAATGGCAGCTAGCATTTGGGCAAAATAAATCAAATGCAATGTATTACGGTCAAAATATGGAAGCGTCATTCCTGTCCTGATGAATTATCTTCCAGTTCTTATTTCTAAATTCATAATGTTACCATCAACAACATAGATATATTTTGTAGTTTACTCTCACCATGTTTTTTTCAGAAATAAATCCTACGGAACACAAGTTTATTCCCAAATTAAGTGCACAGAGACTCATGGTGTTAAAAATGCATCACTTTTTTATTCCTCCAGAATGTAATGGTTCTTATTAAAGTACTTATTGAAAATTCAGAATTTTAACAAGATTTTAAATGTATGTTTTAGCCATGTGTAAATTGATAGTCTTTCTTGTAATATCAGGTAGTATAATGTTTTGTGCAATCACTCCATTAGAGATTTATAAAGGCACAGTAATATCAAATATTAAGATTAAACAAGTTAAAAATAAATATGTATGTTCTTGTTAAGTCAGATATGGTAAGGCTTGAGTTTTCCAGTAATATGCTAGAAATATAGCCATTTTATTTAAAGCTATTCCCAGCCTCTACATTTTCCATTAAAATGTTTTTTTACATTTTTAAAAATATGTACATTTTATGGGAATAGCTTAATATAGCAATCTGTGTTTTGTTTTTCTGTAAACATTGAGAAAAAGAAAATGCTGTTTCTCTTAACAAGTACACATGGGTATATATGCCTTAGCATGATTTGGCTCATCTCCCAATGAGTTATGTCATTAAGTGGATTCTGAATATTAACTATGCTAATTATTCTGCTAATTATTCTGTAAATAACTTCACCAGTATATGACTGCAGTGTAGATGTTATATCAACTTCAGGGTATAGTAAGTACAATAACATGAGTTGCATTTGTTTTTAGTATTAGTACTGTGAAGAAGTTGCCTTGTGATTGATGAGTAATTTTGTATGTTACTATAGACAGGTTTATATTAGTGTAACCCAGTCGGCTGCCTTCCAGATGTCTTGAGCTATATGTTCCATCACCCCCAGCCAGCATGGCTATAGATGGGGGAATACAAGTTTATGTATATAGGTGTTATATTAGTATTATCCCTTTAATACAAACATTAAAAAGCAACATTAACAGACCTCTAAATAGGTACCCTTGTTGCATGTGGCCACATTTTGCTGTTATGCCATGCTGAATGATGCTGCACATTAGTTTACTGCTGCCTGTGAATGCTTTAAATAATTTGTTGTAAAATCCCATCAAACAACTGCAGATTTATTTGCAGCCTCGAAGATGGAAATCCATGTCCAGGAAGGGACAGACCTTTTCGCAGCTGAGCCATTAGGCGTGAAGGACTCAGAGAGCGGAAGTAAGACTAGTGAGCAATCCCTACATGATGCCTTAGTTCTACAGCCAGCAAAAACAGAATCTATACAAAAAGCAGAATCACAGGACGAAGAAGAAGAGAAGACTCCTCCTACTTTCCCTGAACAGACTTTGGATGCCAGTCCACAAAAGCAGGAACTCAGGGGTTCTGTCAAAACAGATTTTGATTCTACAGGAGACTCAGATCGACATCAAGAGCAAAAAGATTTGTCAACACAGTGGCACCAAGAAGACCAAGCAGATGAAACAGCCACCACATCCCAGAAATTTACCAGCAAAGCATTACCCACAGAGTCTAAAGATAAGCAGGCTGATCTTAAAAAATATGACTTTCCCTCTCCAGGAAGCATAGGTTCTTCCTCACTGTCAGAATTAACAATGGACACAAGATCCACAGTTAAAACTATCTTTTCATCTGATACTCTGCCAAGTGCTCATCATAAATCTGGGTCAGGAGATAGTAACAAAAGAATACACATATCAACTGCTTCAGAAATTGCCAAAGACCTTACGAAAGATCATAAACAGGACAAAGAGAAAATTAAAAAACAGGAAGAAGACTTTGCAATAGCAATGATTCCTTCCTTACAACCAGTTACTGAAGAAACCAGTGTGCAGAATGTACCTCTTTGGGAGGAAGAGAGAGATATGACAGAGGATGAAAGTGATGAAGACGGATACTCTTCCAGTAGACAAAAGCACAGAGCATTAGAAGGTCAAGGTTTTGTGGCTCATGCTGACCAACCCACTAAAGGAGTCATAGGAAAAGAAGCTGAAAAAGAGGGAAAACACAGCATGGAGACTTTTGCTGGCAGATTCAGTCAGGAATTATTCCCTGAAAAAGTTGAAGAGTCTTTAAATAGACATGCATTGTCTGAAACGGAGAGCCCCTCTACTGAGCCAAGTGATGAAACTCTGCACAGAAAAGATTCTGGAAAGAATGGTAAAGATGTGGAGTTTTCTGTTGGAGAGTCTGACACTCACAAAATGCAGATGGAAGAGGACAAATCAGGAATGTCTACCTATTTTGAGACTTCTGCCCTTAAAGATGAAGCTGTCAAGAGTGACATACTACTGCATGGCAGTGATTATTATGAACTGAGTGACACTAAAGAACAGACCTATGACCCTTACCATAAAGATTTCCTTGTTTCTAAAAAAGATATTGAGGAATATCAGCCAGACTCATACCAACTCCCCAGTATACCCACTCATGAAATAGGATACAGTACTCTTGCCCAGGGTTTCCCAGAAGATGAACCCAGGGAACCCAGTTCACCTAAAGAAAGAATATACACCATTGACCCCAATGTTTATGGGGATAAGAGAGAACTTCACAATAAAAATAAAGATGATCTAACTCTAAGCAGGAGCTTGGGGCTTGGTGGAAGATCTGCCATAGAGCAGAGAAGTATGTCAATTAACTTACCAATGTCCTGCTTGGACTCTATAGCACTGGGGTTTAACTTTGGACGTACACATGACCTTTCGCCGCTAGGTTCAGACATTCTAGATAATGCCAGTGGAGATGAAGGGGATGACTATTTGCCAGTCACCACCCCAGCAGTAGAAAAAACACCAACCTTCCCAACAGAGAGCAGGGAAGAAGAAGAAGTAGTAATAGTAGAAGAAGAAAAAATTGAAGAGACAAAAATGAAAGAAGAGGGAGAGATTCAAATGGAGCCTTCGTGTGAGTCCCCCTTCCTGGCCAAAGATTACTATAAAAATGGGAATGTAATGGCTCCTGACTTACCTGAAATGTTAGACCTTGCTGGCACAAGGTCAAGATTGACATCTGTGGGCACAGAAGCTGAGGGAGGACAGAGCAAGTCCATTCCTTCAGAGGGACTGGTAGAAGACAGCAGTGTAACCCAGCACCTTATGAAAGATGAAAACCACATGACTCTGAAGGCTGACAGTCAACTGGAAGATTTAGGTTACTGTGTTTTCAATAAATACACAGTACCAATGCCATCACCAGTCCAAGACAGTGAGAATTTGACAGGAGAGAGCTGTCCCTTTGATGAGAAAATTAGAAAAGGTGTCATTACAGATCTCTCACTGATAGAAGTGAAGTTGGCAGCTGCAGAGAGATCCAAAGAAGAAAAAGAGACATCCAGTGACTCAGTTCTTTTAGGCAAAGACTTTGAACAGGAGAGAAAAGCTATTGATAAACTAGACACTGTGCTAGAAAAAAGTGAGGAACCTACTGATTCCAAAGAAGCCTATTCTTCTGAGGATGCTGAACACACAACAGTAAAACCTGATTTGACTTTAGAAACTATAGATGATAAAAGTCTAGCTGGAGTGGAAGAGAAAGTGTCTTTGATAACTCAGAAAGAGGAAGATGACATTCATATCACTAAGACTGACACACCAGAAATCTCTTGTAAACCTGACTATAATGCTATAAAGCATGATCTGGATACTGCTGCTCTGCAAGCTGAACAGGAATATCAAAGTAAGATAGGAGTTCATGCAGATGAATCTGTTCCAGAGCAAAGCACAGTGGATCGAGACAAGATCCCCTCTGTATTGCCTGAAGAACCCATTGTATGTGCAAAATTAGAGCCATGTCCTATTAAGGATGCTACCAAACTGTCTGAAATCGAATTTAAAGAAAAAGGGGCTAAGCCTGATCTTGTGCATCAAGAAGCAGTAGATAAGGAAGAATCGTATGAATCAAGTGGAGATAATGACCAAGCCCAAGAGGGTTTATCTGGAGATACTTCAAAGCCATATGTTGGCAAAATAGAACCAGAAAGTCCATCTCTCTCAGAAGAAGAGACTGTGTCACAAGTGCTAGTAGAACAACAAGTTGTAGAAACAGAGGTATCAAAAGCTACTCTAGAAGAAGCGGCTGAAATTCAAATGGAGAACATACCACAGTCTAAAACAGATCAAGTGGAGTCTCTGGAGTTAGTAGACTCTATGAAAACTGAAGATCATCATTTAGAATATGCCAAAAAAGATGTAGAAAAAGAACAACAGAAAGAGATCAAACAACAAGAAGAACATAAAGAAGTTAAGCAAGCAGAAGAGGTCAAGGAAGACATTAAAGAAGCCGAAGAACATGAGGAGACTAAGATAACAGTGAAACAGGATGAACTGAGTAAATTGGAAGAAAAACATGAGAAACAAGATAAGCAAGAAGGAGAACAGGAAAATATTAGACAAGAGGAAAAGATTAAACAAGAACAAGAGGAAGAGAGTAAACCAGAACAAGAAGAGAGTAAGCAACCATACACAGAAGGAGACTTGGAAAAACATGATGAAGAAGAAGCAGAGGTCTGTCAAGCTATCCCTGGGGAAGTGCCTGAACTCAAAGGAGTAGTAGAATCTGTTGTTACAATTGAGGATGACTTCATCACAATAGTCCAGACAACAGTAGATGAGGGAGATGCCAGCTCCCATAGTGTACGGTTTGCTGAAACCCAAGAGGCTGATGTTGTAGAGGAAGGCATCCATCCTGAAGGGGAGGTGGACATGGAGGTGGTTGCTGACATTGAAGAAGAGAAAAAAGAAACATCTTTAGAAGCTCCTTGTTCTCCTGAGAGGGAAGAAGTCCCCTTAACTGATTATAAAACAGAGACATATGATGATTATAAGGACGAAACAACCATTGATGACTCGATCCTCGACACTGACAGCATATGGGTGGATACTCAAGGTGTGCCTTATCCTTTTTTTTTCATTTTTTTTGCTTCCTGAATAATTTCCTAATAATATATTAGTGATAATTTATATTAGTGCATTCAGGAATGTTTTTTTTTAATTAATGTCAATATGAAAAAGCCAGATTTCTTTTTTTTTTAAAAAAATGAACTCCAACTGAAACAAAATTCACTTTTTCACTAATTCTCTTTTTATTGTTGTTCTTGTTGTTATAATTTACTCTGATCCTACAGATGATGATAGGAGCATCATGACAGAACAGTTAGAGACTGTTCCTAAAGAGGAGAAGGCAGAGAGAGAATTGCGGAGACCGTCTCTCGATAAGCATAAAAAAGAGAAAGCCTTAAAAACTGGGAGAGGCAGGATGTCTACTCCTGAAAGAAAAATAGCTAAAAAGGAACCTAGCACAGTCTCCAGAGATGAAGTGAGAAGGAAAAAAGGTTCATTTAATACTCACTCTTTTTCCTTTAATGCCGTACTGTGAGTTGTTCATCTGTAGTATTTTAGCAGTACTGTTAACACATTACAAAGAGTCATTCGTGTCAAAAGCGAGACTTGTAGTTCATTATACCACTTCCATCGTTCCAGCTGCATGCTGGTGGTTTTCTCTTATAGACTATATCAACATTATACCTGGTGCTCCATCTTCATCTTAGAAGGACAAAGTAATCTGAAATCAGAAATGTCAGTGTGAAAACACATATACACATTATTTAACATTTGATTTGTAAATAACTTCCAGCACCCAAAGGGTGACCAAAAACTAATGAGAAGAGTAACAATTTTCAATCGTTTATGTATTAAAAATCTTATATATATATCACAAAACATTGTCACTTCAGCATAGGAGTGAACAAGAATGACAACAAACCTGGGACATTTAATTAATCAAATCCCCAAAGGAGAAAATTATTTGCCTGCTGACCAAAAGATGACGAAGTTGACACCAGGTAAACCTCCCTGGGAGATCATTTCATAATTCTTTATTTCATGTGCTTAGCACTATAGCTACCTAATAATATTCCCATTTCATTAATTGTCATATCTGTCACATAAATCGTCCCACTATTCCTTCTGTTGTATAAGAAGGCCAAATAAGAGGGAAGGTAGACTCTTCTCAATGACTTCAAAGGGATTTGAACCCTGGTCAATCGTTGACATTCTGAATCAGACCACAGGGGTCAACCTAAAGTTGGTCCCAAAATATGCAGATCTGTGATGGACCTACAATAACTTTTTTAAAACAAAAACCAGTTTATACTCTTTGATATGTATCCAGAGGTCACCTAACATTGAGACTATCAGAGAACTCCAGAAAATGAATTAAGAGATGGTTACACTTTCCCAACCCATGACAGCGTAACACTGATGTGAGGCTTTTATCCCACCATTCTGACATGGCTATGTGCATTTGGAATGGAAGGGATATATGTGGTGGGTGATCTTTGGTATCATATGATGTAATTCCTACTTTAAGCATCATCTAAGAAACTCCGGACCTCAGCAGATTCAAGTTCTGATTGAACGGCTGACTTGGCACCAATTGTCAGTATTTTGTCATGTTGAAGTATATTTCTATTTCTATTCCTTAAAAAATTATTTCTGATTGTGTGCTCTTGTGTTTTTGTCTATAGCTGTATATAAGAAAGCTGAACTTGCTAAAAAAGCTGAAGTTCAGGCTCACTCTCCCTCCAGGAAAATCATTTTAAAACCTGCTATCAAACACACTAGACCAACTCATCACTCCTGTGTTAAGCGGAAGCAGACAGGTGACTGTGCTGTCTTGAATTTATGCAACGTGGCTGGCAAACATAGACATTACTATTGGTGTTATTATTTGTAATCTCATTGCTCTATTGGCTGCTCTAGTTTGGATTTTTTTTCCTCTAAGAATTTTTCAACTGTCATGAATGATATTTTTTTGGTGACATTCTTTTTAATTATTTTTTTTAACAGAGACCATGATCATGTATGCTTGCCGTGCTTGGATTTCCCAAGTTCTGTAGTTGTTTCTTGGCTTTGTGGTTTGACAGTGGTGTTGTAGAAACCTGTCCATTTTGCTTTTTATGGTTATTTTTTAATTTTATTTTTGCTCTTTTCTGGTGGGAAAGTGCTAATGGCTTTAAACCGTTTTCTTTTTATCTATTTATCTTTTTTCCCTCTCATGCATAATAATAAGACGCATTTTAACATTATTCCAACCTGTATTTTTATTGTGTGTACTGGTTTATTCGACTCAATCACTGTTTTATGTATTTAAAAAGCAAAAAGGCACAAATCCTGAAGGGCAAATGGAGCTCTACCATGAAGTCAAAAGAGAAGAACCCAACAATCAGGACAAGTGGACATGCTTTGCTAAAATAATCTTCTTGAAAACGTATCTTTGTTCGCAGCGAGGAAGCTGTGAAATATAAGATGGATTCTGGAAGTTCATGTATATTTATGATTTCATTTAACATATAAGTTTTTTGAGATATGCAGTATTTTTTAGTTAAAATACAGTGTGATAAATAGATACAATCCACACACAAAAACAGAACCTGTACAAATCCGTTTGACTCATAAGAGAAGATTTTAATTTTGGAGGATACTAGTGGTACATATATTTGCTTCTGTCTTTTCGCATTCAAATTCACAGACTTGCACATAGGGTGCTTCCAGACAAGGGTAAAACCTACACCAAAGTATGTCCCCACAGGGGCCTGCAAACCCAGAGCAGGGTGTCTGGATGCCATCCCAGTAACTACTTAAGGAGAACCTTAATGTTGGCCATGTTTTACATTTTAAGGGCTTATTTTAGGGGGAGGGGGTGGATGCCATCTCAGTTGTCTGGGCTCCTGGAACCCGGAAAACTGTGATGGCTGTGTGGATTGGACCCATGGATTGCGTGACAGAGTCCCCGGGCCCAATCCACACAGGGCCCACACCTCGTAAGGCCTGGGTCTTACCAGGTATCTAATTAATTCTGAACAAAGCAGGGAAAACCCTGCTTTATTCCAAATTAATTCACTTTTAGCGGAGGTGTTGTTTGGATGCCTCCGATAAAATTGCGACAGGCCCCACATTTCTGGGTCTGTCTGGAAGGGTCCACAGAGAGACACTCTGGCTGCAATCCCGCATAGTGCAACATAGACTAGTACAGTGTTTCTCAACCTGTGGTCCCCAGATGTTTTGGCCTTCAACTCCCAGAAATCCTAACAAGTGGTAAACTGGCTGGGATTTCTGGGAGTTGTAGGCCAAAACACCTGGGGACCCATAGGTTGCAAACCACTGAACTAGTAGGTCCACATGCAGACTGGAATTAGGTCAAGTCACATACCACCCCAAGTTGCTGAATACCTCCACCCCTGTGCCCGCCCCTGCCCCCATATAGAGCACTAAACCATAGACATTGGAAGGTGGATCTAAGTGGCAAATAAGAGCAAGGCCTCACATCACATTTACAGCAAGACTTATTTTCCTTCGAAACCATCCCACCTGAAAAGACCCCATTACATGATCTTGAGCACAGTGGCAGAGACTGATGGCAGGGGCTCAGAAGTTGTCTGTGCTCCACTATCCAGTTCCTTGCATACAATATGATTGTGAAATCTCAGCCTGTTAACCCTTTGAAAGCTCTTCTTCGGCTTTCTCTTTCAAATGAGCAATGATCACATACTAATGAAAGAAGCTTGGAGGAGGTGCCATGGCTATTGTAAGCCTTGGGTGTGAAATCCAACCCCAGTGCAGTCAGTATTCAGTCAGATCTCTCCCATTCATGCAAGAATGAGAGACAACAACATTGGAATGATTGCTCATGATATCCTAGTCATAGACTAAATTAACTGAAACATATTTATCATAAGCAAAGTCCCATCAATATGAATCAAAGAAGTAGGTAAGTGGTGACCATATAGGAATGTCACATGAACATTTTCTATTGTTGCCTTTGCTGCTAAGTAAGGTGTCACTTCTGGCCCAGGTAGCAGTCCTATCAGCACCAAGAAATATTTCTGAGGGCCCTTCTAGACAGGCCCTATATCCCTGAATCTGATCCCAGGTTTTCTGCTTTAAACTGGATTATATGAGTCCACACTGCCAGATATTCTGGGATAAACAGAAAACCTGGATTCAGATCCTGAGATATAGGGCTTGTGTGGGAGGGCCCTGAGCTGACTTTTGATGTTCCATTCTAAAAACCTTTTCTTTGTTGTCAAGTGGTCTGAACAGACATTTTTATGTTTCCTTGTGGATGCAGTAAACCTCAGAACTCTCCATGCTTAAATTGAATATCACTGCCCACTTAGACCCCTTCCACACAGCTGTATAAAATCCACATTGAACTGGTTTATATGGCAGTGTGGACTCACATAACTCGGTTCAAAGCAGATATTGTGGATTATCTGCCTGGATATTTTGGGTTATATGGCTGTGTGGAAGAGCTCTTATATGCCAAACTTAGAGGTGGGTGGGGATCAGAATATATAAGATGCTGAATTCATGTGTTGAAAGGATGCTCCCTCAAGTGGTGAAATCCATCTGATCCTCAAAACATGTTACACACCTCAGACACATCCAGCATTTCCTGGGCTCATCATATATAGTCATGCAATAATGCATCTCAGCTTATTACTGTAACGACAAACAACAGAACATCCACCTTATATCTACTCCATCCATTCTTAGGGTGTGTTGCAACCTTGTGCCAGATACATGTAGAGGAAGCTCTTTTTCTAGCAGCCTTGCAAAATGCCTGTAACACCTTCCTAAAATAAGAGATGTGACAGTTTGACTTGCCCGGTGTGTAGGAAGAACTATATTCTGAGTGATGTAGAATTTGGAACAAGATATATCGTATGACAGATTTAAAGTGCAGTATCATGATTTACACTGCAGCATTCAAATCATTTCCTCTTATCAAACATTCTCTGTGATTATCTCGAGTCATCTCCTAAAATTTAGTGTGTATTTGCGCCTTCCCCAAACAGGTTTCTATCTCATACACACAGGCCAAACTTGCAGTCTTAAAGGCCATGTACAAACCTAAAGGACCAAGGTATGGATTCAGAGGTGACTTATAAGAACATCTCTCTTAAGTTAGCAAAAGAAAAAAAACTCCTTCTGTTTCACCTCATCCTATGAACAGGAAGTTAAAGTGTAATAGAACGGGGAGAGGGGAAACCAAACATGTGTGAAACCCAATTTGATTGAGTCTAAAATAGCTATTTCTCCAGGAAGACTATATCTGAACATTCCTTTATTTATATCCCCATGTCTATCCCTCCAACTTGCACTAGAAGTGGGGGAAAGAGTCCCCCTCATTCCAAGTTAAACATTCCCTCTGATTATGTAGTTTGAAGAGGAGTGAAATCATAGGTAAATAAATATTAATTCCTTCTTCCCTCTTGTACATCATAGTACAGACAAGTCCATTATAATGCAAAGCAGAAATGCACCTGATCCCCCTTCCATTCCCTCTCAGTTAATTTAAATATGTTTGACTAGCAATAGCTAGATTAGAGGATAGACATATTGAATGTTAGAGGAATGACTACAAGACAATATTCATGATGATACACTCATATTTCTTTGTTTTCCTCATAGAGAGGTGCTCACAAAGCATGCAAAAATACAAACACTCAAGTGAGAGATAATAAATTGCTTGCAGAGTAAATTGCCATAGAGAAGAGCAATAAATCTAAATACTTTAGAGAGTTATCGGATATTGGAGGACTTTACTAGCGGAAATGTGATTATTTGTGGCTAGGTGAACTCAGGCTTCAACTCTAAATCAGACTCATATTTCTAATGCATTTCTGCTACTGAAGGGAACACATGCTAACAATTTCTAATCATACAATCATGGTCTTGTTAGTTTTAGCATCTTTGTGGCCCTTTCACTAATATGTGAATGTTAATTCAAAAGTTTAAAGAAAAATGAAAATGAAATGCGCTAAATAATTTCCCTCTTTAGACGCTGTCCAAAACTCCATGGACACCCTTTTGAAGTTTCTTAGTTCTTTAAGGAAAAGAAGCCTCTAGCAAGAAAACTTGTGATCGGTAGTATTGTGTAGAGTGGCAAGTACAGAACTGCAAAGCTCTAAGTACAGATGACAGAAGCCATTTAACTGTGTTAAACATTAATAAAAATAAAATAAAGTTATACCACTTAGAAATAAGTACCAATTTTAAAACTAGCACCTTCTGCTTTTAGTTATCCCAGTACTTTTACACTCCTTATCAGGCATGTAGCGGGGGGGGGGGGGGGGGGTGAGGGGCTTCAGCCCCCCCCCCAAATTCTCATGGTGGTTCACGAAAAGGCCTTACTGGTGCATTATTTACACAATGTTTATTCATATAATGATCTGATCACCATACTCAATATATCCCATATGCATGGGGGTATTGGGGTAATGATACAAAAGGTTTGCTAGGGTAGACCCTCTTTCACTCAGTCAGCCCCCCCCCGAAACTCAGCCCCCCCAAAACCCCCCTGAAAAAAACTCAGCCCCCCCCCCCAATCGAAATCCTGGCTACGGGCTTGCTCATTATTATTATTATTATTATTATTATTATTATTATATTTATTTTAATCCCCCCCCCCTTTTCTCCCCATAAAGATTCAAGACAGCTAACAATGACATGACACAATATACCATTCAAAAGCAAGGCAAATACATATACATATGATTTTTTTTTAAAAAAAAACCAATTTAATATTTGTGTCATGGGTGTAAAAGTTCAAATACAATTCAAATAGAATCAAAATATATTTAACATTACATTTAAAAACAAGACACCCCCCCCCCCCAACCCAAATCCCACTCACAGCATCTCCAGGGCCCAAAACGTGGACTTTTACCACATAACCCTCTTGGGTTTTCCAAAATGAATCAGTCCGGAAAGCCCAGAGGGCTGTAACCTCTCCTCCAAACCCAAGAAAGCCTCTTAAAAATAAAAATAACTTACTGGCCACCATTATCCTGATCCTGGAACTCTCTTGGTGCAAAATTGCTCCTTGCCCCCCACTTCCTGGAATGTCATTTCTACGCACCAGGAGGACTCTGGTATCAGGGTAAAGGTGGCCAGGTAAGTTATTTCTAATTTTTAAGGCTAGTTTGGGGAGGGGGTTTATTTGGTGCCTGGGTACCCCACAGGAAGGTCTGACAGGGCATCTAGACACCCCCTCAGGAAAATGCGAGTCTTGGGGGGAGGTGTGTGGACTTTAAGCCACGCCCAATTGGGTTTCTTAAAGGCCTGTCTGGAACCGGCCCCAGCCCAAATTCCTGATGGTAGTGAAAGGTAAGCAGGCATAGGGCCATTCCTGTATCTCTTGAGAGGGAATTATGGGAGCAGCCACCCTAAGTCTCTCTCCCTTTTCCCCACCAAACACCTTATTTATTTCAAACATTTATATCCCTTCCTTTTCACCCCAGTGGGGTGGGGACTTAGAGTGGCTCACAAACCGGCAATATTAGATGCCAAACAAAACAATTATCAAACAATTACAATTAAGACAATTAATTAAAAACATTGGTTATAAACTTGAGAGTGTGCTGGGGCAGAGAAGAAGGCATTTGAGTGGGCAGTGATTAGTGCTACAATCCTATGAGTATGGACCTCATCAGACAGATTTAGGGCTCAGTTTCAATGTGTTACGGAAACAGATCCCCATGGGAATCCTACGAAAGTCATCCCATGGCGTAAGGGCACTTCCGGTGGGACTCTGTGGGGTCCATTTCTGCAGTGCATAAAAACAGAGCCCTAAAGCTATCTTCAGGAGTCAGGTGTTATCTAACTTCAAGTGAGGAAAGACAGGTAGTAAGGACATGGGATGACTGGCCACCCCAGAAAGGAAACGAAAGAGGATGGTTTCTTCTATTTCCCCTTGCTTTCCCCCATTCGTCTGATGAGGTCCTATTTTTCTACATTATATTTCCAAGACCAGGTTTGGATGTAAAAGTAAATCATGGCTCCGTGGAACATACAAAAGCCATAGTAACATTAGCCATTAAAAACTTTCAATTTATTTTTGAATGGAAGAAAGGAGGACACTACAAACTGGAGGATTACCATGTCAAGTGAATACAGTGGATTTTCCATTAAGCATCAGTTAGTCTATAAATAAAACATCTCTTTTTAACTGAAAATGCGAGGGGAAAAAACACCCCAAGTGCATCTATACTGTAGAATGAATACAGTTTGACAGCACTTTACTAGGGATTGTAGTTTTACAAAATCAACTGCTTTTTCTGCCGAAGAGAGATGGTGCCTCATCAAATACAAGCCTTCAAATGACAATAATAATAGAGTTTAGCTTTAAGAATAGCACAATCTACAAGCATACCTACAATTACTACACATGTTGAATATGAGGTCTCCTTGACGTTTGTTGTTACACAATATGGAAGAGATAAGAAAGCCAAACATTTCAAATCCTCACTTTTAGCTGAATATTGCCTTAGTTTGTACACCACTCTTTGATTGGATGAAAATTTAACACCTTGCTTCCTTTGTGACATCACAACCTTCATATCGCAGGCCAAGCAGAAGCATCATCTTAGGCTATGAACTGGGGCAAACATGTTTTAGGTTTATCTTCTTCACTTGAAGAAGCGTGTGCCCCATAATTAAACATGTGTATTGCATGATTAAACTGTTAGTTGAGCTCCAAAGGACAGGGTGAAGTCATGATCCAGGTTTATTGTCCAGATGGAGGAATTGTTATGTTGTCAGGTAAGTTAGCAAGAAAGTCTGCCTCATGTTGGAGCAATGGGTGACCATCTGATTCTGATTCAAAAATGATGTGTTAATAGCAGAAAACTAATAGGAGATAAAATACACAGACAAGTTACACTGAGTGAAACCTAGCAGATATTTACAGGTGGAGCCATACCCCCCCCCCATGTTTCTCTTGTCTGTACCATAAAATTTAAATCAAGTTAACATAGGAAGCTATTTAATTAAGGTTTTTGTATTTAAAAATAATACCATTAACAAAATCTGTTTGTTACAAAGCAATGGATACCCGGGCAACTTGGGTAAATTGTCACATTTCTTGGGTCAATGGAATTGTATTATGGTTCTTTCAACTCAAATCTGAGATACTTTTATGAATGGGATGCCAAGAAGCCTTCTTTCTTTTGAAAGCTGCTAGTCATGGTACACCTTCACAAACCCTACTATTACAGTTATGCTCCTTTGGGTTCCATTTGTAACACTCAGTGATCAGTATAATAGTTGTACATTGAACCTACTAAAGGGCACAGGCCTCACCATTTTTTCTTCTCAGTCCTTACCTTCCCCTTGTTGATAAAGACATTCTAGAAGGATGTTCTACTCATGGTCACTTGAGTACCAATAGAAGTCTCCATGTACTTAAACAGGAGGTCCACCCAGGGGTCAACACAGTCAACACAGGAAGGTTGGAGATAATGCAGACTTGCACACACAGAGGTGGAGCTTTTAGCCCTGGTGTGAACATCATTCTTTCCATCTTCAGACAGAATGCCTGCATTGGGCTATACTATGGTCTATTCTCTTCCAAAACATGTCAAGGGCAAACCAAATTCAAAGAATCATAGAAATGTGATGCTGTAACACCACGAGGGCACAGCATAAGGCCATTTGTGATAAGACATAGACTACAATAGCTCTAGGTGCAGCTTTCTCTCTATGGGGACATCTACATGGACAACTGACAAAAGGCAGGAGGATGAATCAACTCCATGGTGGCTACTGACACATGGAAATAATTCAGGTTAATGCAGCCTTGAAACAGGGTTACCAAAGAATCTGGAACAAACCACAACATTGGGTCCACATAAGCAGACAGAACCAGGCACAACTGTTTACGTAGCCATCCTATGTTCACACGCTTGGATGGCTGGTGGACATAGGATGGCACTTACTGTCCATCTCCTGTTCTCGTCATCATGGTCACAAAATGGCTGGTAGCTGTTACTTCTCACTTGGAGTGATGTTGACAAGGACACCAAGGTAATTGAAGAAAGGAGATAGAAATGGGACCATGACACCATTCACGCCTCTCTTCTCCGACATCATTCTGGCATCCCAAATGACATATCTCCAGGCAACTAGCAATAACAACCAGGCATTTTGTGCCCAGTGGTTGTCACCACAATCAAAACAGGAGGGGGTGGTAAAGGAGACTTTCCATTGGTACTGAACTAAATTCAACTCCACTAGACAAGACTCCTTCCCACCACCGCAATGGCCTGTAAACTAGTGGTAAGAACCATCCTGGGTATTATTTGAAGTTTGACACTTTGGATCACCCCACAGATATTGTGCCTGTGTATAACTGCCCTGTGTCAGTGAAAGTGACTTCTGTTCAAAAACATTGCCATATAACAGCAATTCATTGTATTGATTTCTTTCAGTGTTCAGTTCTGTCCTCCTCTGTAAAAGCATATGTAGAGGATGTGGGCCTAAATCCACTTACTAGTCACAAGAGCAGATCAATTGAATGACAGGTCTGTTCTAAGTGATACTGGCAATTAGACTGCATATAGGAGTTTGTGTCTAATCAGTTTATCACTCCTCTCTACCACTAGTCTTGCTAAAAGGGACAAGACTATACTATGGCACTTTGGGAGTTGATTGCTTGGATAAGATTCCTAAATGAAGCCACTTGTCAAGTCCCCAGAACAGAGAACACTAAGGAGCATTATTTTCTTACATCTTACTTGCGTTTTTCATTATAATCTGTTATTGTCAATAAAAAGTTATTTTATTAAAAATAGACTGCATGGCAATTTAAATGGGATATGTTAAAGATAACTCTGATATTAACTTTATGAGCATCTTGTTTTCTTTGTATCCATTAGCCGCTGCTGGTGAAACAAATCAAACTCCTGGGATGTTTAAGCAAGCAAAGGAAAAACTTTCAGTGAGTAAAATGGTTTATTTCATTATTTATGTCTACTTGCTCACTTTTTCTATGCGCTTCCTGTGGTTTTAACACCCTTTCTGCAAATGAATTTGAAGAATTTGTTTGCCAGTTTTAAACAAATCATTTTCCACTCCTCTTCAAAATTAGTCATAGGGTGTAAAAACATTCTAACAATCGCACAGAAGAAAAGTAACAGATATATTATTAAGACATTATTAAGACATCTATTTGATTGTCAGTTCTGTCAATCTGGTACAACCCTAAACCTTAAAAAAACCCCAAATTTAATTAATTATTAATAATAATAATAATAATAATAATAATAATAATAATAATACCCTTTATTTGTAACCTGCCCTATCTCCCCGACTCAGGGCGTTTTCCAACTGAAAAATGGCAAACATTCAATGCCAAATATGAACAATAACCAATAAACAACCAAACTAAAACCAATAAACAAAACAATATAAGAACGTATAACAAAACAAGATATCACTTTTTTTGAATAGTTTGTTTCTATCTATCAACATGGGGATAGTCATCTGAATATTATCAGTTAGTCAAAACTGGAATAGATCCATAGAATTTGATTTGAATAGTGAATCAAAGTATAGCTGAATTGTATCGATTCAATGGGCCTGTTTTAGTTGAACTAACTATAAGATTTGCCCAAAATGGAAGTACACAGGGTTCAAAGATTATTTAATCCTAGTCTCAGCACTTCAGAAACTAGTTTCTCTGTCAACTTTAAATCAGCAACCACTGTTACATCTGTTTAGGTATGCAATTTTTTTTGCTAGTGCCATGCTTGAAGGAAGCAATAAGTACTTAATCAAATTTCTCCTGGCTGTGAAGTTTTCCAAGGGTGTTTTCAGTTATGTGCAAAATTTACACTTTTTGTAAAGAACATTTCATAGACAGAATATATTTCATTTGTACTGATTCATGCTCATAGCTTTCTAGAGCAGGGTTTCTCAACCTATGGGTCCCCACATGTTAAGATTTCTGGGAGTTGAAGGCCAAAACATCTGGGGACCCACAGGCTGAGAACCACTGTTCTAGACTGTATGAAAGAATGCTTTTAGCATGTTCAGGTGAGGTTAATACATTTGGCAAATGAGAGGCTGTTTCTAGTTTTGTACTTCACATCAATTCTCACCTGCAGCTGGAGTGAGACATTTCTAGCAGTTAACTAACCCCTTTGATGCCAAGCTTGCAGAAGCTCTTTCTGATATGGGCTGTCTCACAACACTAAAATGTCATCTGATAGTTGGCATTATTGATATCAGGAATTCGAGTTCTAGATTTATTAATGGGAATGGGCTTTTAGTCCCTTAAATGGTATTCTTCATACCTACTTTCAGACATTTTCCCTTTATACATATCTTAATCCTGCCTTGTAAACATTAGCCAACCTCTTCCTACCTGGGCTCATACATTTGTCAGGCCAATACTTATCCTTGCAGTTACAGACAAACGTAGCTCCTCTTCTGGAATTTATTTCCATTGCTGTATTTCAGGGGACCAAGGTTCTGATTTTTTTCTTTCTTTCTTTCTTTCATTCAAAAGTTCTTCTATAGGATTTTATTTATACTGATTTAGGAAGGACCACCTATGTTGTAACTTGGAACATCAACATTCCCCTAATTCTCTTCTTTAAAACTAGAGTTACAAAATGCATTGGCATGTACGTCAGTGCCAATACTTTTAGAAACCTTTATGTGGCAATTGTTTCTCAATGCTGGGCAAGAACTTGGTAAGCCAGGGTTCAAATGCCCACTCAGCCCAGCCACATTCCCTCAGTTTAAGGGGAAGGCAGTTGGCAAACAACATCTAAATAAATTCTTACCAGGAAGAACCTAGGTAACCATATGTTGGTATCTACTTGAACACCCATAAACACTTCTAAGGACCTTATCACATTGGAATATAATCTGTTTATACCAGTATGCATCACATATTTTTAAGGACTTGATCCATACTATATTCATACGGGATGCATACTCTCCTCATCACACCTGATTATTACAATGCTTATGATTTGAAAATACTGCGCTTTGACTCATCACACCACCGAAGGCTGGCTCCTCCCAATCCATTCAAAACATTATGACTTTTTAAAAAAAGTATCATTGCTGATGGGATGCATACGAATTTTCCTATCACACACAAAAATAGCACTTTACAGACTCATTCTGACGGAATACTGATGGGATGGGCAAACTTCATGTGATGGGACCCGTTTGAAATCATTCTCAAGCGGTCTCAGAAATGGAGTATTTCCTAATGTGATAAGGTTCTTTGTGTAACATTCTGCCATCTGTGTAAATAGGGAAGGAATCCTGAAGGACCAATTTGTGAAAGGTTATAATGGGCAGTGTTTTGTTTTATAGTGTGTAAATAAACAATAATCATGCTGGTGTTCATTTCGGGTTCACAGTAAGTTTAATTACAATGAATGTTTCTTTGGAGCAATGAGCACCATTTCTTCAGCACTAAGTAGCTACCAGTACCTAGATTACTGCTGAGATCAATAACTGCATGTTGTTATCAACAGTAGTCTCAAATAATACTTACACACCAGGAAACTCAGCCAAAATTAAATTTTGATGATACAGTTAGACCTTTACAATTAGACCTCTGTTTCCCAAAGATTTTGTATTAATGGATTCAAACTTCCATATATTGTAAATGTTTTTTATATATATATATATATATATATATATATATATATATATATATATATATATCACAGCTTAATTTTGCCATGTTATGGAAAGGGGTGCCATTTTACTAGGCTATACTACATAACGCGACTTGAGCATCTGTGAATTTTGGTATTCTCAGAGATGGTGGGAACGTTCCTGAACCAAGCCCATAGTAGGTACCAAGGGTCTACTGTAGTTTGCTGGGTCCATTTCTATCAGATTTCAGATATAGTGGTTTTCAACACTAGACTTACACACGATGAAGAAACCTAAGATAGATTGACCTGGAATGGAAGAGATGCTGGTTCGAGAGCCAGCTTGACCATGCCATTAATCATTTCACTCTTTAAATGGTCTAACAAGAATAAATAATTCAGTCCACAATTTAATATTCATGTTTTATGAAACATCGTTGGGCGTGGACTAGAGAAACTACAACACTTTCACAACATGCATTTCACTTACTGAATTACTTTTCCGAAATGTAATGATGATGATGACGGCTTTGTTTCCTGATGGTCCAGTATACACACACCTTGTTTCATACACAAAATTATTAAAAATATTGTTTAAAAGTACCCTCAGGCTATGCGCATGAGATGAATATAAAGCATCCATTAGTGTCATGTTTGGACTTGGGTCCTATATCCAAGATATCTCAGTATGCATTTGTATGTAAACAAAGGTATTCACAAACCCCAAAAATCTAATATGCAACACTCTTCTGGCCCCAAGTATTTGGAGATGGATTGGACCCAGTTCTTGATCTTGTTTCTTTTAGAGTGTACACTGGGTGCAATCCTTGTTCAATATTTACAAGACTGTAAGAAAAATGTAAAATTTCTTAATTTATTGGCGGGGTATTTTTATGTTCAATAATAACTGAACATGACCTCGACAACTACCTCCTACCTCAGGCTTCTCTCCAGTTATAGATTTTCCAATGTGCTCAGTCATAGTTATGTCTGGTAATAAGGCAAAATGATTTATATTTAAAATGTCTGAAATTTTGAGATTCTGATTCATGTCTCTTTGTTGATTTGTGTCTTAGACTTTATTTCATTTTCATTTCTTAAACTTTGTAACCAGCACCATTATCATCATCACCACCATCATAAAATATTTTCAGTTTTGCATCAGAAAAAATGCTGAGCCCATAAATTTAATAGTGCCAACTCCAGACCAAGGGTGCTAGGGTATTCCACCATCCAGCTAGAAAAGAAAATAATACAATAATACCTGAGGATGTTTTATTAGAGACCAGGCAGGATGTTGCCAGCATCTAGAAAAAAATCCTACAGCACCTAGTTTAAACCTCTGGTATAAAAGGGTTTGGTATCATGGGGAAAAACTGTCTCCACTGAAGCTTTCCTGCCAATCCTTGGGCCCTTCCACACAGCCCTATGTCCCAGAATAACAAGGCAGAAAATCCCACAATATTGGCTTTGAACTGGGTTATCTTGGGGCTCTTCCACACAGCCCTATATACCAGAATATCAAGGCAGAAAATCCCACATTATCTGAGTGTGGACTCATTTTCTGCCTTTATATTCTGGGATATAGGGCTGTGCGGAAGGGCCCCTTGTTTCCACAACAAGCCACATCTTTCAAAATCCAATTCTCACAGGGATAGAAAGTGAGGTAAAACCTTCTGAACAGGGACACAGACAGCAAAACAAACACCACAGGGGTGTTAACTCTTCCCTATGCTATGCTTAGGCCCCTTCCACACAGCTGAATAAAATAAAATCCCCATATTATCTGCAGTGTGGATTCAGATAACCCAGTTCAAAGAAGATATTGTGGGAATGTATTGTCAAAGGCTTTCATGGCCGGAATCACTGGGTTGTTGTAGGTTTTTTAGGTTGTATGGCCATGGTCTAGAAGCATTATCTCCTGACGTTTTGCCTGCATCTGTGGCAAGCATCCTCAGAGGTGTCACAACCCAGATATTGTGGGAATTTCTGCCTTAATATTCTGGGTTATATGGCGGTGTGGAACGTTCTTTGCAACCTTGAAGGTCTGTCATCCAGTCTCTCATCCAGTCAACCTTGAAGGCCTCCCATGAAAAAGGGTCTCCAGAAATAGAGCTGGGATAGCAGGAAACTGATACAAGGAAGTATAGATAGAACTCAGCTAAGCAGTTCATTGGTCTGACTATGAAATGCAATGTTTGAAATTGAAAATAGTTAATTGACTTCTTCAAGCCATGCAATAGCCTTATGTTCATGTGTACAATATTATTTGGACACATGATGTGTTCCGTTTTTTTTAAGTGTTGTTTTGTGGTCTATTTTCCATACTGCATGCGTTCTCCATTTGCCTCACTGTTCACCCTCATTTTGTGTTTCTTTTGTTTGTTTCCTCATGATTAGACGTCTTCTTTGTCAAAGATTCCTGCCTCAAAAGTTAGAGCAAAGTCATTGCTTCCTCCAAGACCCAGCTCAGCTTGCTCATTAATTACTACTAAAAAAGCTGCTTTGCTTGATACAGACAATTACATTACGCGGCCCTCTTCAGCGGGCCCAAGAGACTGCTTGCCATATTCAAAAACAGATGCTCAGGTAAGGCAGTGGAGGTAGCATAGAGAGTATCGTGCTCAGAGAAGACCAAAAGTGAATTCCCATAGCTTTCCAGAGCCATTTCCATGAGGTCTCACTCCACATTGCTTCAGCAACATCTGTTAAGAACTACTTGAGTGAATTGCAGGCAACAGCAAAATCCAACTTTGTTGATAGACTGTTGTCATAGTGTTAAGTTCCATTTTACAAAATATTACTGACAATGGGCAGAGTTGTTGTACACAAGCCTAGAGAAAGCCAGGTGAATGGTGGAGCCTGATGCAGTTTGTCAGGTCTGGGTATAAAGCCTAACACTTAACATGGAATTCAAGCATAGAACCAAGGCAAGGTCTTGTGTGGGAGAGACTTAGATGGGACAGAAGGATGATGGTCAGAGATTGTCTGCCAGCCTTCCTTGCCTGATTTTCAAATATGGAGCTGCGGAGGTATTATTTTCACAATTCCTTTTCAATAAAACCAATAAGAATTTGTGTGTAAAACATTCTAACAATAACAGACAAAATGCCATACATATTGATGGAGTGTGTGGGTATGCACACACACACACACACACACACACATGCAAATAAATTGAAATTCAACAGGATATGCAGGATGTGTAAGCTTGGGCTCCAAAATGGCATCAGTTCTTCTGAAGAAGTATTTTTCTACTCCGCCTCCATCTCCCCAAAGGTACTCAGAGAGGGGGGGGGGGTTACATGGGGTCCAAGCCCAAGGCAGAATACAATTAAAAACAAAGCAAAACAATTTAGACAGCATAAAGCAGCATAACAATAATAACTAGCAACAATAATAATAGCAGACTAATTTTGGAGAAGGGGAGGAAAACCACTACATGAACTAGTTAAAGGATAAGTGGTTTAGTAAGGTGGATAATAATGCATTACGACATAGGAAATATCATGGGAACAGAGTAAATTAACAGGATCAGTTAATATAGTATAGGACATCAGAAAAGTGTGATAAAGGTGTAACAGCAAGTCAATTTGCTGATTATCTGTCTTTGTAATTGTTTTCTGAAACAATGGTTGCTGAACATGCCAGTTTGTTCTCATGTTCAAGGGATTGATCAGATGCTGATGTGACCTGACAATAAAGAAAAGAACATTTAATTAATTAGGGATTCTTGATGGCCCCACCGTGACATCTATTTTAAAGCAAGATCACTGTTATTCAGTTAGATCAGTGCTTCTCAACCTGTGGGTCCCCAGATGTTTGGCCTTCAACTCCCAGGAATCCTAACAGCTGGTAAACTGGCTGGGATTTCTGGGAGTTGTAGGCCAAAACACCTGGAGACCCCAGGTTGAGAACCACTGGTAGATGATATCAAAATTATGAATTTTTAAAAGTGGAAATAACAATATTAGAAACAGTGAATCTGTTGAACATTTCAACTGAGAAAGACAGTTTTGCATATTTAAAAATGGTGAGCAGTTACATATTTGAGCAATTACATCTTTAAGCAATACCCAAAACAATTCTTTTCTTCCACCTGCACCAGCAGCTCCAATAACCAGCAGATAGTAGATGATGTTCTCTCCAGAAGAACCAGGAACACTTCCATACTATTGGAGATAAAATCTCTGAAACAAATCTTATAAAACCAAAGAAATGAAGAGCAATAGAGAAAACAGTACAACGGGAAGATCTATCCTGCCAGTTACGCCAAAGACAGTTAGCCCCAGGATGGTTTCCACAGGCACACACATACACACACTAGTGCTGTGGAGATGGGAGAGAAGTGCAACTGCCCAGAACTACTGAATGCTTCTCACCCCTCTTCCTTCCCTAATCACCCTGTCACCACAACCAATGTCACTCCAGGCAACTGTTGACTGGCAGGACTCATGCTGTACATGGAGACTGTTGCAATACAGAGAATGTGAAAGGACAGTAAGCACTATCCGATGTCTCCTGCCCATCAGAGCCCAGGAACCATGGCATGGGAATGTAAACAATTGTGTCTGGTGCCATCTTGGAATCAGTCCAACTGTTTACATGGATCCAAAGTTCCCAGAGTTTAAGGACGCATTAAGGTGGTCTAATCCTGCCTTACCTTAGCTCAGCTGCATGTGGTATTTGGCCACCACAGAGCTGATCAAGGTATCCTTCACATTAAGATCTCAGTGTAGACATGCCCAAGACCATTTTAGAAGAATTTCAAAATAATAAGTAAAATTCAGCAGGGTTTCTGCATTCTTGAATCAAAAGGAAGAGTGTTCAAAAGTTGTTCCTCACTACTGATCACAGTGGTTTTTCATATGTGCAAAGTATTCTAGTCCGTCTTTCTGGAAATTGCATTCAAGAGGTAACACATCCAGCTGCTCCTTTTCCTATAACATACTGTATATACTCGAGTATAAGCCGACCCGAAGATAAGCCGAGGCACCTAATTTTACCACAAAAAACTGGGAAAATTTATTAACTCGAGTATAAGCCGAGGGTGGGAAATGCAGCAGCTATTGGTAAATTTCAAAATAAAAATAGATACAAATAAAATTACATTAATTTTATCAAGAGGTCAAATGTTTTTGAATATTTAAGATAAGACTGCCCAACTCGGATTAAATCATTCTGACCTTCTTCAATATAAATGTGCTTGTGTATCCTTCCAATAAAAATAAATGGATTAAAATAATAAAGGTAATAATAATAATAATAATAATAGAGTAATATAATGGAAATATTAACAATAACAATACATTGAGTAAAATAATAAATGCAATAATAACAATAAAGTAAAATAATAAATGTAATAATGATGCATTTATTATGTATTTATAACAGATTAAAATAATAAATAACCTTGACTCAAGCATAAGCCGAGGGGGACTTTTTCAGCCTAAAAAAAAGGTCTGAAAAACTAGGCTTATACTCGAGTACATACAGTAATTAGACCTTTTCTCCACCTCCCTCTTAAATTTTCCAGACTTTGATTAAAGCCAAAGATCCCACTCACAGAACATCCAATTTGAGCTGGAAGTTGATGCTAGTTTTGAGAGCTGAATGTGGTACAAGTTAGGCATGGTTTGATGTCTTCAAACATGTCACTATCATGTCTGGTTAAAATAATGTGGCATATTTATCATTTCTCAAATGCCTTTCCAAACCTGCTTGACTGGAGACAGCAAACAAATGGATGGAATAGTATTATCTATTGCATCACGTTCACGTCTCTTAGCAACTATTGTCAGACTCCAACTCAGCTCCACAAACCTAGGAACTGAGTTTACAGTGAAGTCTGCAGTTGTTTCCAGGACCCTTCACGAACACCAAAATCCATGGGTACTCTACTTTTTCTTATATATAGTTTTGTAGTAACATCGCATCCCTTATATAAAATGGAAAAATCAAGATACATTTGATTTTTGGAATCTTTTTAAAAACATTTTCAAGTCTGGATCCAGAAGCCATGGATATGGAGAACCAACTGTACTCACAGGCGAGGCCCATAGCCAGGATTTCGATTTGGGGGGGGGGGGGCTGAGTCTGAGTGAAAGAGGGTCTACCCTAGCAAACCTTTTGTTACCCCAATACCCCCATGCATATGGGATATATTGAGTATGGTGATCAGATCATGATATGAATAAACATAACAGTTTAAATAATGCACCAGTAAGGCCTTTTCACGAACCACCATGAGAATTTCGGGGGGGGGGGGGGCTACATGCCTGTCACAGGCACAGGAACTTAGTTCCATAGGTGAAACACAAGTATACCAATTTTTCAAGCAATTTGTGGATTACACTGTTTTGCTTCAGTAGCACAAGAATGCTTTTTCATGCCTTTATGCCTATGTCTATGTATGTAAGAGAGGAAGAGTTAGTTTTAAAATTAGTTTCAGTCTGGAGCATGATGGTGTGATTTTGACTTCATGCTTTCCATATAAAAATACTTGGGTTGCTCCTGACACAGTTAAAATTAAGCCAGCAATTCTCCCATCCATCCTCACACACCAAAGTGCTCTCTGCTCTCTATTCAACTGGCTTCGAAGTCCTTGTTAACACTTTTTACTAATGGCTGCTTCGAGTGATATGAAGTAAACTTTAGATTTTCCTAGGTGAAGAATGTCTTTCTTGGTGACTGCACTTTTGGAAGTTCAACTAACCATCTTAATCTGATCTTCCATGACTTGACGTAGTTCTAAAGGGGCTGCTGGAAGAAGACTGATGTTGACTGAAATATAACCTTGAATGCTAAACTTTTTAAACATGTCTCATTTAAAGCAAAACAATTGCCTTTCATTTCTACTAGGATGGAATACTCAAGAGTCCTGAAAAGCGTTCCTCTTTACCAAGACCTTCTTCTATTCTTCCCACCCGGAGAGGCATATCAGCAGACAGAGAACGGGATGAGAACTCTTTCTCCCTGAACAGCAGTATTTCATCAGTACGACGGACCACCAGTATGTGTCTTTTGCTAAACACTCCCTTAAAATTGCTGGATCCTCATTTTCATGGGTTTGGGAGATTGCCTGTATGTAGATATGTTAGCTAATCTCCATGTATATATAAGTTTGGGTCAATACATTCAAATCAGTTCGTAAAATCAACAGTGCCTCCTTTGTTATCTCCCGTCCTTAGACACCATTCCAATGCCTTTTCATCCTATATAATTTTAGCAGTTATATTTCTACTAACTGCCATGGTTATGTGTAAGAAATCCTAAGTTTGACTGTTGATTGGCCTTTGGAACCCTCAACCAGAGAAGTTGTCTCTGACTGAACTTCCGAACCTTAGGAAGTTTCCACACGATGAAGCCTGTGGCATCATAGTGCTATTATTGTGTAGTGTGAAAGGATCCCCAGTTAACCTATAACCTTCAAATGTTCTCTTCAACATCTATGTCAGTCAGCATCATAGAACTCTCCACATCCTTAGGCTACTAATGGAAAGTCACAACGTATCCACATACTATGGCATACTCAGACATGCAGTTAGACAGGGTCAGCCATTCTTATAACCTGCATGACTAACATTAGTGTAGAGCTCTGCATTTCAGCTCTCCTGCACTGTCTATGCTGCACATTATCCCATCCAAGATTCATATGGATTGTAGTGCCACTGTGGAAAGACACACACATACACCAATCAACTCTTCTGGAGGCCCTTCCAGACAGGTCCTATATCTCAGGAATTGATCTCAGGTTTTCTGTTAACCCCAGACTATCTGGCAGTGGGAACTCAAAAAATCCAGTTTAATGCAAAAAACCTGGGTTCTGATTCTGGGATATAGGGCCTGTCTGGAAGGGCCCAGGGACTTAGATGGAATGTGAGTGTTGACACTGGTTAGGTTGCTGGAGGTGGGTATGGAGAATAGATTGCTAGAAGATAAGGATATGGCTAAGTGGCACCTGATATATCTGAAATATTCCTGGGAAGTACAGGGCGAGCATCCTTTATCCAGATATATATATATATATATATATATATATATATATATATATATATAGTTTCAGATTATGTGTATAAGATATATATGTGTGTGTGTGAAATGTAAATCAATTTTGTGTTGAGACTTGGGTCTCATCAACATTCTATTTCTGAAATGCTGGTCCTAAGCATTTCAAATAAAGAATACTCAACCTGTACCATTCAATTGTGGGAGTTTTTCTTCCATTATACTATGCCTCAGATTGGCCTAGATATCTCTAATTGCTTTTAACCTAGTTTAGATTTCAACTAAATCTTATTTAATTGTTGAAGTGTTTAAGGTATTGAATTTTGCCTCTGCTGTAAGCCGCCTTGAGTCCCCTTCAGGGTTGAGAAGGGTGGGATATAAATATAGTAAATAAATAATAAATATTATTTATTATTTATTATAACAGTTTCATTTTGAATCCTTTCTTAGACATTTTTTTAAAACTAACTTTGGTGGCATCTTGTTATTTCCTCCTCTATTTTGCTCCATTGTTCTGCTAGACTTAAATGAACAGCCTTTTTCAAAACAGTTGACATGTGATTTCTTTGTTAGTGCATTGACTCCAATTGAATCTGTGGCAGTCTTCCCACTTGTGGAAGTAGTAACTGTGATTTGAATATCTCTAGGGAGGGCAGAAAGCTTTCAAGCGGACTAATCATTTTGCTTATATTTTCCTAATTATTTCTACGTATAACATGTCCATAAGCACTATTAAATAATAATAATAATAATAATAATAATAATAATAATAATAATCTTTATTTATACCCCGCCACCATCTCCCCAACGGGGACTCGGAGCGGCTTACATGGCGCCAAGCCCGAACAACAACTTCAATATAAAAATACATATTGCAGTAAAATAAACAACACAACATTAAAGTGTAATACATCAAAACATATGAAACAGTATACACAGAGCATAGAAACCAAACAAATGACAGAGAGCGGGCCGTATTTACATAAAATGAATTTTTAAAAAACTCCGGGTGAGATAAGGGGGCAGAACTAATTGAAAGGGAGAACTCATAGAGAGACAGGAAAATAAACAAACTTTCATTGGGTGGGGGGGACTCCTGGGACAAGAACATTGAGGGAGCAATAGCATAATAATAATAATAATAATAATAATAATAATAATAATAATACTTTATTTATACCCTGCTACCATCTCCCCAAGTGACGCAGTGTGGCTTACATGAGGCTGAGACCACAATACATCAGCAAAAAAAAAAAAAAAACAGCAGTAATACAAAACAGTAAAATAAAGCTCATAAACAAAAAATAGGCAGTAAACATCGACAATATACGCAATAACATTTTAAAACCAATGGCTGGGCCAAATGTAATAGTTAAAATTTTAAAATAATGCTGGACAAGACCAGGTGAAATATAACTAGGATAGAATTATAAATTATGTGGCTACTCTTATGAGGCCAGTGTTCCATGAAAACCTGAGCATCACGGTTTCAGTGTCCATCTGTTAATGTATATGTTTGGTTTTATCTTATGTATGTATATGTGACATTGAATCATGCCTTTTTTTGTGAGTTGCCCTGAATCCCCTTAGGGGTGAGAAGGGTGGGATATAAAACAGTAAATAAATACATACATACATTATCTACACAGGATCAGAGCCTATTAGAAGCCGGACAGGAAAGAGTGGCACATCAACCCCAACTACTCCAGGATCCACTGCCATCACTCCTGGCACACCGCCTAGCTATTCCTCCCGTACTCCAGGCACTCCTGGCACCCCTAGCTATTCTAGAACCCCTCATACTCCGGGTACCCCCAGATCTGCTATTCTGGTCCCCACTGAGAAGAAAGTCGCTATCATCCGCACGCCTCCAAAATCGCCAGGCACCCCTAAGCAACTACGACTCATCAACCAGCCGCTGCCTGATCTCAAGAATGTCAGGTCCAAAATCGGGTCGACAGACAATATCAAATATCAACCTAAAGGAGGACAGGTAAGACTCTCAAACTAACAGTTACACCAGTGGTTGTAAACAGCATCACAAGCTTTGTTAAAGTGCTCTTTTTTCCTATAACAATGGTTTTAAGGGTAAGATGAACCAATATGGCTCTCCTGAAAAAGTGGGCCTCTTTCTTTTAATCTCCTTTCAATACAATTCTTCAGATACAGAGTCTGCTTAGAATTTGGATCCTTCTGATTCATTTGAGTAACAGAGTTGAAGGCAGCTCTACTTTAATGGAAATTGTACACTATCGCTAGCATTTCATTTGGATAATTTCATGTGACTGGCATTTGGAGAAGAACTGGCGACATTTGTACGTCTTGAACCAATATGCAAACTAGAGTACTTTTAAACTTTTAGCATTCACACTTTTAGAATTTTGTATTGGATTTCTCCAAGAAAATCACACAAATGTGCACATTTTGGAGCTCAGAAAAGTAGCCCAGAAAAAATAATTCAATAGATAGATAGATAGATAGATAGATAGATAGATAGATAGATAGATAGATAGACACACACACACACACACACACACACATTCTCTTGCTTTCTTTTTTTCCAAATTTTTTAGTTGATACATCCTGTCAATTAATAAACAAATGTGTGTGTGTGTGCATACAGAGAGTTCCAAAAAATGTATACATCTTTCGTCATTTATAAGTCTAGAATTTATTTTTTGCGGTTTTTTTGTTTTTATTATTTTATTCATTTATATTCTGCTTTTCCCCTAATATCGAGATTTAGTGTAGTTTGCAGTACATTAAAACCAGAACAAATTATAAACATAGAGCAACATGAGTAAACTAGATACAAAATTATTGAAAACACCTTAGAGAAGATAAAAGATGGGTTGTTGTAGGTTTTTCGGGCTATATGGCATTTCACCTGCATCTATGGCAAGCATCCTCAGAGGTTGTGAGGTCTGGGGATGCTTGCCATAGATGCAGGCAAAACATCAGGAGAGAATGCTTCTAGAACATGGTCAGTGATTCCAGCCATGAAAGCTTTTGACAAGATAAAAGATCTTGTAAAACTATACCTCCCACATCATTGAGTCATGTCAGTAAAAGTGGAGCTAAACTGCCTTAGTTCGATAGTTTAGATGTACCCTTAAAGAACAGGAAGAAGAGAGGCAAATTATAAACGGTCAGTATTTCATGATAGAAAAGGTATTCTAGCTCAGATAGAGCCAAATTAAACCACCAGTCAAATCATCTCTTGCTAAACTGTATCTCAAGAGACTGCAGGTTGAACATGCTTCCCAACATGTTTTAAAAATCTCTGTCCCTAGGCATCTGGCATTGTCAAGGAGAAGTGTCTTAGCCTTATAATCATCTGATCTGGTAGTGATCTGCATTTTAAAAATATTATGAACTAGCCGTCCCCTGCCACGCATTGCTGTGGCCCACATGGGGTTTCTGTGTGGGAGGTTTGGCCCAATTCTATCGTTGGTGGGGTTCAGAAGGCTCTGTGATTGTAGGTGAACTATAAATCCCAGCAAGTTCAACTCCCAAATGTCAAGATTATATTTTCCCCAAATTCCACTAGTGTTCACATTTGGACATATTGAGCATTACTGTAGAGTTTGGTCCAGATCCATCATTGCTTGATTCCCCAGTGATCTCTGGATGTAGGTGAACTACAACTCCAAATCCAAAGGACACTGCCCACCAAACCCTTCCAGTATTTTCTGTTGGTCATGGGAGAACTGTGTGCCAAGTTTGGTTCAATTCCATCGTTTGTGGGGTTCAGAATGCTCTTTGATTGTAGGTGGACTATAAATCCCAGCAACTACAACTCCTAAATGGCAAAATCAGTTTTTTTGAGTGGAGAACATAAGTTGGACTGTTAGGTGTCTTGTGTCCAAATTTGGTGCCAATTGCCCCAGTGGTTTTTGAATTCTGTGAATCGCACAAACGAACATTACATTTTTATTTATATAGATAGTGTAATCAAAACACTGACATTCTGCAGTTGCTCATCCTGGCAAAAACTTCAGCATAATTCAGGTGAATGTGAATATTTTGATTTCATACACAGCAGAGAACAAAAAGAACTTCGCATATTCCCTCGACGTCTCCGAGAAAGTACACATCATAATATGGCATTGTCACCATGGTTGCGGTTTGTCTCTCGAGAAGTCTCTATTTGGCTTTACCTAGGGCTCCAGACAAAAGAGGCTGTATATCTTATACTGCAGCAGAAGAGAAGTGTGTGTTTTTCTTCTTAAGGGGTTTCTGGATAAAAAGAATCAATTTTTGGCAAAACTTGAAGGCTTCTTGCTCTTGGGCATATCTGACGTGTTTCAGATGGAGTCTGATGTGCTTTCTGTCAGAAAAAAATACTGCAAGGAAAGGCATTTTAAAGCAAGCCAGCAATTGTAATGATTGGTAAGATGGCCCAAGGAGAATAAGGAGATAATTCTGATCTTATGCCATGTATTATTTTCTCTTTGAATGAGTTTTCGCCTAAAATCTATGTATAGTATAAAGAATAAAGAAATACCCTATCATGTTTTTGTGACAGGTGAGACTGGCAAAGGCAGCTCTGAAAGACGGGGTGTATCTTAGATCTAGATACTTCCAGTAGGCCCGCAGACTTAACTTTTGCAGAATTGATTATTCCTGGATTTAATTGATATGGTCACTTAGGAATCTCTGTGATGTTCAGTTCTATTCTATGGTTAACTTTCATTGAAGCTTGACTATTGAGTTACACTGGAAGATCTTGAAATTTCCAGAGAAGTGATATTTCAGATTGGTTTTTTTTAAAGTGTTTTCTTTCCACTTTTAAAGGATCCTGTATCCCTAACTCCAAGTGGATGTATAATATTTTTTTATTCTTATCAGCATATATGCAGGATGGATTGTTGTAGGTTTTTCGGGCTATATGGCCGTATTCTAGGGGCATTATCTCCTGACGTTTTGCCTGCATCTACCGTGGCGCAGTGGGTTAAAGCGCTGAACTGCTGAGCTTGTTGACCGAAAGGTCGCAGGTTCGAATCCAGGAGGCGGCGTGAGCTTCCACTGTCAGCCCCAGCTCCTGCCAACCTAGCAGTTCAAAAACATGCAAATGTGAGTAGATCAATAGGTACCGCTCCGGCGGGAAGGTAACAGTGCTCCATGCAGTCATGCTGGCCACATGACCTTGGAGGTGTCTACGGACAAGGCCGGCTCTTCGGCTTAGAAATGGAGATGAGCACCACACCCCAGAGTCGGACACGACTGGACTTCATGTCAGGGGAAAACCTTTACATTTACCTATGACAAGCATCCTCAGAGGTTGTGAGGACTGTTGGAAACTAGGTTTATTTATCTGTGGAAAGTCCAGGGTGGGAGAAAGCATTCTTGTCTGTTGGAGCTAGGTGTGAGTGTTTCAATTGGCCACCTTGATTAGCATTTGATGGCCTGACAGTTTTTAGGTGTGCCCTGTTAGTGCCTGGGGGAATCCTTTTTTGAGAGGTGATTAGCTGTTCCTGATTTTTTTTTCTTGTCTGCAGTTCTCCTGTGTTTGAGTTTTCTTCTTTATTTACTGTTAGAATTTTAGAATTTTTAAATACTGGTAGCCAGATTTTGTTCATTTTCATGATGTCTTCCTTCATGTTGAAATTGTCCACATACTTGTAGATTATTTATTTATCACTTATTACAGTATTTATATTCCGCCCTTCTCACCCCGCAAGGGACTGAGGGCGGATTACAATGTACATATACATGGCAAACATTCAATGCCATAGGCACATAACATATATAGACATATAGATTAGGTCTGATTAGCTTTGATTCATCCAGACCAGATCAATGGATAAGAAAACTGGAATTTGAATATTGGAAGTTTTGGCTCTCCAAGGTTTCAGGAAGATGTCATCCCTATCACTTGTTACCTGATTTTTTAATAAAACAAGGATTGAAATTGGGATCTTGCATAGCATGTGTTCTTTGCCCTGGGTGGTGTGTTCTCACCAGTTTATACCATACATGGATTTAGAAATGGACCTCCTATCTGAAACCAGCAATACTAATACATTGTAATTGCATAGTAAGTATTACATTGTGTTAAAAAATACTTACAGCAGTCCTTTAGGAGAGATTAGTATTATATTGCAAGTAGGGACCTAAATTCTAAGAGATGGGTTTGTAGCAGATGGCAGATTTGAACCAAGAATGTCCCATCTCAGGCTGTATCTACATTGCCATATAATCCGGATTATCTAATCAGATAATCCATATTATCTGCTTTGAACTGGATTATATGAGTCTACACTGTAATATTACTAATAATATTACAATATAATGGTATAGTACAATATAGTAATATATAATGCTGATATTGTACTATGCTAATAATTTAATATATTGTGTGTGTGTGTGTGTGTGTGTGTGTGTGTATCTTGCAAGCCGCTCTGAGTCCCCTTCGGGGTGAGAAGGGCGGCATATAAATGTCGCAAATAAATTATATATATATATATATATATATATATATAAACAGAAAAATGGTCTGTAGCCTTCTGCCTCTGTGGATAGTAAACTTAAGTCCTATTGACTGTGCCTTCTCCTGTTTACTGCCAAAAGACTTTGGAGTCAACAGGAATGTCAGAATTGGCCCCCTGAGGAGCATATTAGCATTGAAAGTTATGCACACGTATTCAGAAGAGAATAACCCCTGAGGTGTACATGAATTTTCATAAACCTTTCCGAAGATTGCATATATCAAGCTCATAACTCCAGTTGCATAAGATGTCAAGAATATTGCACTAGTAAGCAAGGAAAATATAGGGGGGAAACCCACTTTTAACATTCCAGTTGTATGTTTTATATTGGCTTTAAAAAGGAGAAATACCCTTTGAAAGTATAGAACTATTAACAACCTTCAAGGTCATCTATGTTAGCAGGGGGAAACAATACCCGCTGTATTACTACTTGACATTTAACATGTGAGCCAGTAAAATGAATAGCAAGGTACAAGTTTTGACTCGGCAGCCTTACCAAAAG